CCCCCCCCCCCCCCCGCAGAGTGGATAGATTGGAGAGAAGGAGATTTAAAGAAAACAGCTTACTTTCTTGCAAACCCTTTCTCTCCAATCTCTTTGCTCTGCAAGGGGGGGGAAAAAAAGGAAAAAACACAGGTCAGCCACAGGACAATCCATACTGACTATAATGGTGATCACGTGACTGAGGGATGCTGTGAAGGTCGTAAATGGGCCATAAAGTTATTTTTTCAGCACAATCGTAACTTCGAGGGCTACCTGTATATCAATAAATTGAAGCCATGACTCATTTACATTGCCAATTTGTTTATAACACCAACAATACAATCTGTAACGATATTTTCTGTGGTGCAGTTTTAGTGGAGTGTGGTCCCATATTTTATCTTTATGATCTGTTACTGATGATTTTCTGGGGGAAAAAAAAGCCTTGCTGAAATGCCAAAGGAATATTATGCTATTGAAAATTCCAGTGAAATTCATCAAGTTGAAATCCCAATTCATTTTTCCCACTTTTTTAAGGCTTCCAAGAAGACCTGTCATACATAAAGTCTTTTATATGATATTAGTCATCAAATTGGCATTTGCTATTAAATGAAAAAACTGTATTGTTCAGTGTTAATGGTCTTAGTTGTTCAGACCTGGATACTGAAGGATTGAACTAAATTGATGCTTATGATCATTATTTTTACAAAACATATGCAGTAAGAACATATATAATTAATTTTCTAGTTTTATAAAATCTGCTTCCTCGTTTCTTATATTAAACACATTTATCTTAGTGCTTAAAAAGAGACCAATCAAGAAGGAAAAGGAGAATGGTCAGGAATTGTTTCTTCCTTTTTCAAACATCTAAAGTAAATTTTAAATGTTACAAGTCTGTTTCTGAAAATGAAAATTGTTCCAGGAAAGTAAGGATATGTTCTTTAAACAAGAGTTTATAGGTTCGCAAACAAATCCGTTTCATACTTTCCTTTCTTCCTTGCAGGACCTCTCTTTTCATTTCTTAAGCTTAAAAGTTATTGCAAAACCTCTGGTTTGTTTTGAATTGTGAACTAAGAATAAAATAAAGCCTCCCTCAGATTCTAGCTTGACAAACCATGAACTATTTTACAGTAAGTTTTTGCTTGCTGGCTTTTTATTGCCTGATTTAGCTGCTGTTAGTGACAGTGGAAGTCAGGTGAAACTAATGCATGAGCATGCATGTTTATTATCATGAAGCCAGTATCCTGCCTATGTCTGTTTTGTGATGGTTTCATCAGTAAGAAATAGGCTCCTGGCATGGCATATCGTACTGGCCTATTCACCACCTGATCTTTCCATCTCCTTCCTTCCCTCCTCTCAGCCACTAATATCCATCGCTTTTTCCAGGTCTTTTCTTCCCCTAAACCACTTCTGCTCAAAATAGCAATATTTTGGTCCATGTCTCAAATAAAACAGCACTGGTTCATTTGATATTTGGACCAAAACATCCAAAATGCATGTTTTAGTTCAGGTACCAATCACCCCAAACCAGTTGTTCCTTGAACAGTACAGCTTATGCACGGAATTTTTTTTTCCTTTTCCAGAATGTAGATAATAGTTTGATGGGTTTAAGTTACAGGAAGGCAAAGTCCAACTGAATGTTAGAAAGAAGAAGCAATTTGATAGTGGAATCAGTTAACCAGAGGTGTAATGGGCTTTTCTTCACCGGCTATGTTCAAGCAGAGGCTAGATAGCCATTTTCCTGGGATTCTTTAAGTCAGATACCTGCACTGAGCAGGAAGTTCGATGTGATGGCTTAAGTGGCCTGTTCCAATACTGTGATTCTAAGTGTTTCTTGCCTCTGGTCTATTGGCAAGCAATTTTGTTGAAGGCTGCCAGATGTCCTGGTGTTGCTGGTTGTTGTGAATATCTCAGAATTGCAACAGGAGTTCAGAAGTGCCATATGTTTTTGCTCTGTATCTGAAGAGGGTGGCTTTTTTGCAGGGCGGGAGTGGGAAGACATACGCTTATAACAGCAAGACATAAAATGGTTTTTAATGAATACTTTAAACACCGAAGACTTTCAGTACATCTTTTTAAAAATTCTCTTTCTTTTTAAGAAAACATTAAAACTGAGGATTCATGAATAGGTTTTGGGCTACAGATACTATTTCATAACATAACCTTCACCATTATTTTGTAATCATCACCTAACTGCAAAATTTTGTGTGTTTTTTTGTATTTTGCTAGATTGTCCTAGATGTTGGATGTGGCACTGGAATCCTCTCCATGTTTGCTGCCAAAGCAGGTGCAAAAAAGGTGATAGGAGTGGATCAATCTGAAATTGTCTACCAAGCGATGGACATCATTAGGTAGGCACATTTCACAAATTGCCTAAAATAAGCTAAATAAAACCAGGTTATAGGAAGTGATTTAACCCAGGTTAGCTTTATGTTTTTTCCACATCTGCTGCCAGAGAAGCTGATGATATTCTGAATAGGTATCTAATGCCAGTAATGAATTGGATGAAGGACTAACACATTCAGATTTGATCCTGATAAGATAGAGAAACAGAAGAACCTGAGAACAGGATTTAAAGCCTGTTTTGGATGTAGTATCAGGTTTGCAGTCTGGGGTTGCTTCTGGAATCTCAGAAGATGTTATAGCTAGGAATATCTTTCCCCAGGTTAAGCTGATAAGCCAACTATACCTGTTCCTTACTGGGTGAAAACTGGATGTAGTGACATGTACCCCAATTATTGCAATCCACTGTACCACTTTTGAAGTGTCCATAAAATATGGAGTTGATCCAGTGTATATCAATGAAAACATTGGTAGGTACTCACAGGCAAAGATTTGTTTCCAAACACAATTCAAAATATGGTGATGAACTTTAAAACTCTCAAAGACTAAGTCCAGAATATTGTAGTGGTAACCAGTTTGACTGCTCCCTAAGATTTTTTGGAGAAGACCATTTCTATGTCCCAACTTGGTGGAAGCACTTTTTATTGGGAGAAAAGTAAGGACCTTCTCCATGGCCACACCTAAACAATGGAACTTCTTATTTAGTGGGCTAGGTTGGCATCATATCTAATGGTATTTTGTTAATGGGTCAAGATGTTCCTTTTTAGGAAGGCATTCATACACAGGCAGTGTTATCTCTTGACCTGCCTGCTTTATGAGTTTTATTTTTTATTTTTTGTAATTCGTTTTTAGTGTGTACTTTTGTATTTAAAATGCTGAAAGCTGCACTAGAAGAATTAA